GACTGAGGAGTGTGAGGCAGGGTGGCCAGGTACTGTCAGGAGGGGGGTGTCGGGGACTGAGGCGTGTGAGGCAGGGTGGCCAGGGAGTGTCAGGAGGGGGGTGTCGGTGACTGAGGAGTGTGAGGCAGGGTGGCCAGGGAGTGTCAGGAGGGGGGTGTCGGGGACTGAGGAGCGTGAGGCAGGGTGGGCAGGGAGTGTCAGGAGGGGGGTGTCGGTGACTGAGAGGTGAAGGGGGTGTGAGTGACCGAGGGTGTCACTGACTGAGGGGGTTGGGTGTCGGTGACGTGGGGACTGTCGGTGACGTGGGGGTGTCGATCGCTGCGACGACGAACGAGGCGGAGTCGAGCACAGCGCGCCCTGACGCCCCCCATTCCGAACGGTCCCGGCCGTGCTGGCGGCCTTGCCCCTCCCCCGGGCGGGGACAGGCGGAAGTCGCGACAATAGGCTGGGCCCGCCTGTCGGCCCTGGTGAGCGCGAGCGAGGGCGCCTTGCGCGCCTGCGCGGGGGGTAGTCGGGCTGGAGCCGGCGGCTGTGGCGATGAGCCGGAGCGGGGCCGCAGTGGCCGGAGGCGTCGCCAAGCGTGGTCGGCCCGCCAGCCCGCCCGATGGGTTCTGCACCCCCGAGAAGCGGGTCTGCGCCGGGTGGGCCATGGGCCCGGAGGGGCCCCACCCGCGGCACTGGGGCACCGAGCAGGTCTGCGACTTCCTCTGCCGCAACGGCTTTAGCGAGCCCGGCCTGCTGCGCTGCTTCCGAGGTACCGCCCGGGGCGGCTGGACCCTGGGGGAGGTCTGGGGGGCCGCTCGGCTGGTGTTGCGGGCGGAGGGGCGCAGTGGGCGCGGGGAGTCGGGCGGGCTCGGGGAGCCGCCAGCCCAGCTGGGCGGAGGGTGGCGCTGGGTGGAGCTCGCCGCGGCGCGGTGTCTCTGCCTGAGCCCTTCGATTAGAAACCAGACAGCGCCGGCCGCTCTCCGTTCCCACCCAGGCAACGTTTGGCTCAGTGCTCCAAGCCTGTGTCCGGCCCTATGTGACTTGTTACTTCTTACTGTGCTGGAGCCACAGGGAAACCCCCCAGAGAAAACAACCCGTACCAGATCTTCGCGAGCGCCGGGCTTTCTTTGCATATTGCTATTACACACCATATATATATATAGGGCTTGATGTTAGCCAGGATTGGGCACGCTGATGGAGCTATACTGGGCTCCATTAGTTTCTGTGTGATTTAAACTGACGTTTAAAGTTGTCTAGGGCAAGTCCTATAGTACAAAATTAAGTCTACCTAAGTTATGTCGATGTCCAGCCACCACAGTAATTAAATGACTTTTGCATGCCCACACTGTGCTTCTTGTGTTGTTAGTGCTTGTCCTCACCAGGAGTGCTTGCACTAATTTTATGGTCAGTGTAAGGCATTGTGGGAAGGCTTCTGAAAGGCAGCAACAGTGGATCTCAGCAATGCAGTATCTACAGTGACACTGACCGACCTAAGAAAAACCCAAGGAGTCCTTGTGGCACCTTAGAGACTAACAAATTTATTTGGGCATAAGCTTTCGTGGGCTAGAACCTACTTCATCAGACTCCAACGAGAGACTGCTGAATTGGAATTGATTTGCAAATTGGACACCATTAAATTAGGCTTGAATAAAGACTGGGAGTGGATGGGTCATTACACAAAGTAAAACTATTTCCCCATGTTTATTCTTCCCCCCCCTACTGTTTGTTCCTCACACCTTCTTGTCAATTGCTGGAAATGGGCCATTTTGGTTACCACTACAAAAAGTTTTTTTTCCCCTCCCCTGCTGGTAATAGCTCACCTTAACTGATCACTCTAGTGTGTATGGTAACACCCATTGTTTCATGTTCTCTCTCTGTGTGTGTATATATATATCCTCCTACTGTATTTTCCACTGCATGCATCTGTTGAAGTGGGTTTTAGCCCCCGAAAGCTTATGCTCAAATAAATTTGTTAGTCTTTAAGGTGCCACAAGTACTCCTGTTCTTTTTGCGGATACAGACTAACACAGCTGCTACTCTGAAACACTTCATCAGATGTATGAAGTAAAAGATACAGCAGCAGGTATAAATACATGAAAGGATGTGGGTTGCTTTACCAAGTATTAAGTCAGTCTAACAAGATAAATCAATTAACAGCAGGATACCAAAGGAGGAGAAATAACTTTTGAAGTGGTAAGAGAGTGGCCCATTACAGACAGTTGACAAGAAGGTGTGAGTAACAGTAGGGAGAGATTAGTATTGGGGAAATTAAGTTTAGGTTTTGTATTGACCCAACCACTCCTATTCTTTATTCAGGCCTAATCTGATGGTATCTAGTCTGCAAATTAATTCCTATTCTGCCGCTTCACATTGGAGTCTGTTTTGGAAGTTTTTTTGTTGAAGAATTGCCACTTTAAAGTCTGTTATTGCGTGACCAGAGAGATTGAAGTCAAGTATCAGGGGGTAGCCGTGTTAGTCTGTATCTACAAAAACAACAAGGAGTCTGGTGGCACCTTAAAGACTAACAGATTTATTTGGGCATAAGCTTTCGTGGGTAAAAACCTCACTTCTTCAGATGCAATCTGAAGAAGTGAGGTTTTTACTCACAAGCGATTGAAGTGTTCTCCTATTGGTTTTTGAATGTTAGGATTCCTGATATCAGATTTGTGTCCATTTATTCTTTTGCGTAGAGACTGTCTGGTTTGGCCAATGTACGCCATCATGTGGCAGCAATGCCCTTCTGCCTCTTGCAGAGATGGAGTTATTAAGTCAGCATAGTGGGTGAGTTACGTTGGTGGGAGCTACATTTTAGTGTAGATGCTTACAGAGTTAGGTCGATGTAAACTGCCTTATGTTGACCTAACTCTGTAGTGTAGATCAGGCCTTAGTAAAATCTTCCAAATGCAGCTAAAGAATTGTTTTCCTTCTGAGTCTGTAGGCAGCCTGAGGCAATAGCCTTGAGAAATGTGAACTCCTCCAGTTTTTTTGTGGGGGTATTAAGCCCAATATCAATTTAAATAACTAACGTTGATTTTTTTTTTTTTTTACACTTAAAACGCTACACAGGCGCAGCTGTGCCACTTTAGTGCTTCAGTGTAGAGACTACACATGCCGATGGGAGGGGTTCTGCTGGTGGCATAGGTAATTCGCCTCCCTGAGAAACGGTAGCTAGGTCAGTGGAAGAATTATTCGGGCAACCAAGTGCTGTCTGACATGGATTTGTCAGCTTAACTATGTCATTCATGGGTGTGGGTTTTTCACACCCCTGAGTGACATGGTTATGACCTAATTTTCTAGTATAGACCAGACCTTTTACTGATGATATCTTTAAGAGAAATATCCAGTTACCCTGAGTTTGTAGTTTGAGTAGAGTATCTGCATTTTCTTTCTAAATTGAAGCTCTCTTTTCACTAGAAATGCTGCAGCCCTAAAGCTGTAGCACTTCAGTGTAGATACTTACTACAGCAGTGGGTCTCAAACTTTTTTACTGGCGACCCCTTTCACATTGCAAGCCTAATAAATTAAACACCTGTTTTTAATATATTTAACACCATTATAAATGCTGGAGGCAAGCGGGGTTTAGGGTGGAGGTTGACAGCTCACGACCCCCCTTGTAATGACGTCGCAACTCCCTGATGTGTCCCGACCCCCAGTTTGAGAACCCCTGTACTACAGCAAGGGTCACTGTAATTAATCTCCCTTCTCAAGAAGTGGTAACTCGGTCGATGGAAGAATTCGTCCATCGACCTACCCCCGTCTACACCAGGATTTAAATCAGTTTAACTACATCACTTGGAGGTGGATTTTTCTCTCTCCTGAGCGATGTAGCTGAGTTGATCTAAATTCCTGGCCTGAGGCAATGTCTACACTAGGAAGTTGTACCACTTTAACTTCACGGTTATAGTTAAAGTTGTACCCCCCCCCCCCCCCCGGTCTTGGTACAGATATATCGATGGTAAAGTATTTTATCCCAATATAGTTATTCCAATACAGGAAGATGAATAAGTTATACCAGTATAACAGCGTCCGCACTAAGGGCTTGTCTACACTGGCAAGTTTTGTCCCCCAAAACTGCCTTTTGGCAACAAAACAGCAAGACCGTACACAGTACAATGGGACTTTTGTTGCAAAAAACCACCCAGTTTTGGCAACAAAAAACTTCCACCCCTATGAGAGACTTTTGTCTTTTCTTTTCCCTTTTTATTGTTGACAAAGAGCCAGTGTAGACACTGCTGATTGTTTTGTGGACAGAACTGGCTTCCGCCAGTATCCCACAATGCCTGCCCTGATTGCTCTGTTCAATGTTTTGAGCTCTGCTGCCCTGCAGGCGGGCACCCCTCCCTTTTCAAAGCTCAAGGAAGTATCTGTGTGCTGCTCCCTTTGGGGAACAAACCAAGAGCAAATCATTGGAATGCTCCTGTTCTGCCTGGCACTAGGAACACACTAGCAGGCAGACTGCTGCTGCAGGGGGAGGGGGACAGACTGCTATGCTGCTTTGCCATTCCTCAGCACGGAGAGCTCACAGAGCTACTCCTGATGCTGCTTTCGGTAGCTGAGGGGGCTGTGGGAGAACTCGGAGAGAATCCCAAGATGCGCAGGGATCAGCTCTTCTTTCCCACAACACTGCTCTGTGGGATACATACCTACGGTACATTGCTTACCCTGTCGATGATGGTGTCCCCAGTGTGGACATGGTTTGTTGACAGAGGGAGCAAGTGTGAACACCCTTTGGCAATTTTTGTTTTGTCGACTCTTCGGTGTTGACATAAGTTTTGTCAACAAAACTTGGTAGTGTAGACAAGCCCTACGGGTTGTACCAGTATTAATCAGTAAAAAAATCACACCCCCTAACTGATGTCGTTATACTGGCACAAACTCAGTGTGCAGACTAGGCCTAACCCTTGATGTTTGTGCTGATTTCACCTTCACTGCTTGTTGCTCTGATCACACCAACCTCTTTGAATACCTTACCAAAAGCTTGTCTCTTTCACTAACAGAATTTGGTCCAATAAAAAATATTACCTTGTCTCTCTGACAGCCTGGAACCAACACAGCTACATCAACATGCAAACACAATACTCTTCCATTATGTTAAAGTCAAGCTTCTTGCCTTAACTTTCAAGGCCCTTCATAGCTTTATTCTTACTGTTCTGTTTTAGGGTTTTATATGGTGATCCTTAAACATAGTGTTGAAGAGTTTATCTAATCCTCTCATTGTATTGAACTCCACTCTACCAGTTTTCCCAGCCTGGACCATCTACTTGTCTGTTCTTCCATAAGCATCTCTGTGCTTTCTTTGACATCACCTCTTTTACTTGGAATGCCACCTCCCAGGCTAGTCTATAGAGTTACTATTCATTCTCTTCTTTTCCCTTCCCTTCTCAGGATCTACTTTTACCACAAGAAATATGTTGCAATAAAACAGCCAATATACGATGGCTAGTCTGAGGGGCAATTGAGGAAAGTTGATAGTTAATTACATATTTATGCAAAGCAAAACATAAGAACATAAGAAAGGCCATACCGGGTCAGACCAAAGATCCATCTAGCCCAGTATCCTGTCTACCGACAGTGGCCAATGCCAGGTGCCCCAGAGGGAGTGAACCTAACAGGCAATGATCAAGTGATCTCTCTCCTGCCATCCATCTCCACCCTCTGACAGACAGAGGCTAGGGACACCATTCCTTACCCGCCCTGGTTAATAGCCATTAATGGACTTAACCACCATGAATTTATCCAGTTCTCTTTTAAGCTCTGTTATAGTCCTAGCCTTCACAACCTCCTCGGGTAAGGAGTTCCACAAGTTGACTCTGCGCTGCGTGAAGAAGAACTTCCTTTTATTTGTTTTAAACCTGCTGCCTATTAATTTCATTTGATGACCCCTAGTTCTTGTATTATGGGAATAAGTAAATAACTTTTCCTTATCCACTTTCTCCACATCACTCATGATTTTATATACCTCTATCATATCCCCCCTTAGTCTCCTCTTTTCCAAGCTGAAGAGTCCTAGCCGCTTTAATCTCTCCTCATATGGGACCCGTTCCAAACCCTTAATCATTTTAGTTGCCCTTTTCTGAACCTTTTCTAGTGCCAGTATATCTTTTTTGAGATGAGGAGACCACATCTGTACGCAGTATTCAAGATGAGGGCGTACCATTGATTTATATGAGGGCAATAATATATTCTCAGTCTTATTCTCTATCCCCTTTTTAATGATTCCTAAAAAAACCAGATGTATGTAAAAAAAATTGTTTCTTTGTCTGCCTTTGTATGTTGCTTGTCCACTTAGATTGTAAGGTTTTGGGGACTGGAATCTACCTCTGTGTGTTCAGGGCCAACAAGGCCCTGATCCCAAATAGCCTCTGGACACTACCATAATGTAAACATTATGGAAATGTGTAATACTTAATAATTCAACAATACAGACTCTAGGTTTTTTGATTTTTCTGTTAATCTAAAGCTCCCACGACTTCCATTGTTGATGTTGGTCAAAATACTCCTTGTTGCTGATTAATTTGTATATGAATTTAGGCTCTGTCTAACATTGAGGGCCAAATGTTTTGCTAAGTGAATTTTTAAAATAAAGTAACAAATGGGTGAAAAGGATATTGTGTGCGGCATTATAAATGGGGAACTTTTAGAAAATGTAATAACTATATTAGAAAATACTTTACAAATCTTACAATTTTGACCTTATCTGGAGTTTTGATTTGACCAAGGCTGGACACTATCATTGTTGCTTAACTGCATATGAATATGATTTTTTTTCCCTCAAGAACTTAGAGCTTTAGTAAAACTGAAGTGGAGGCACTTGTTTCAGATGTCAAGATCTGAAATCTCATCCTACATGTGGTTCATAAATGAGATCTGGATATTTTAGGAGGATCCTATTATAAAGTGGATTATTTAGCTAAATTAAAGTAAATGTTAGACAGCAATGCGTAAATACTTCCATTGTAAAGTATTCCAGAAGCTTAAATACTTATGCGAAAGCCTAGAAGTAACAGTTGTTCCTTTAACTCTTCAGAAAATCAGATCACCGGGGCAGTGCTGCCTTACCTCACTAAATCTGAACTTAAAGACCTAGGAGTTGGGTAAGAACAACTTTTACTGATATAGTAACATGAGCTAAGTGAATTTTTGAGAACGTTTCCTGTCTGAGAAATTTTGGTCATTTAATAACTCTGGGATCTTTATTTCTCATCATTGGCTTTGTTTAACTGTCCTAAGTTTTGTCTATGCCTTAAACAAAAACGATGGCGGTGGTATAAAGGATCTGTTGGTGCTGATCTTCACTGAAACTAACCAGGGTTTAATACTACATCTTGGGGAAGAAAAGTCATCAGGTGATTCATTGCAAATGTTGTCCTTTTGATTCCTGTGGTGTGATATTTCAGTATCTTGTCTTGGTTAGCTCACACAATAGCAAATAAGAGGTAATTTCAGGTATTCATGTCAAGGCTGTCAGCCTGTTAGCATATCAAGGTGTTTCATTTCTTGGAGTGATGTGTAAAAGTGTGTACATTTTATAAAATACTTCTTGATCAAAAATAGGGGTTGTAATTATTTGAAAAGAGGTATATGAGCCAATTGTTAAACAGAGCTAAAAACTGATTGAGGATGTCATTTTATGTGCAGCTGGCTTTGTTCTGCGACTGTTGCGTTATTTGGGGGTAATATTGTGCCCTATGGCAGAATGTATAACTATCACAACTATTATAAAAGAGATGTGAAAAACATTTGCAAGAAGAACAGGTTAAAGATGCATACGGAGATAACTGGAACATAATTTGGGTTATTCGTTTGTAGACCTCTACGCCAATATAATGCAACCCGATATAACACAAATTCAGATATAACGCGGTAAAGCAGCGCTCTGGGGGTGGGGGTGGGGGAGGAGGGCTGCACGGTCCAGCGGATCAGGGCGTCAGCGTGTCTGGCTCCGATATGCTGCTCTGAGCAGCGTGTTAAGGGTGCCGGGCTGGGGCCGAGGGATTGGATAAGGGGCAGAGGGTCTCGGGGTGCGGTCAGGGGATGGGAAGCAGGGGGGGGTTGGATGGTTCGGAGGTTCTGGGGGTGGGGCGGTCAGGGGACGGGGAACGGGGGCATTGGATAGGGTGTGGGAGTCCTGGGGGGCCTGTAGGGGGCAGGGGTGTGGATAGGGGTTGGAGCAGGGGGGTTGGGTGGGGTCCTGGGGGTAATTAGGGATGGGGAGGTCTCTGGAGGGGGCGGTCAGAGGACAAGGAGCAGGGGGGCTTAGGGGGTGGGGTCTCTGGAGGGGGTAGTCAGGGGACAAGGAGCGGTGGGGTTGGATGGGTCAGGAAGTAGGTGGGGGGTCGGATAGGGGGTGGGGCCAGGCTATTTGGGGAGGCACAGCCTTCCCTACCCAGCTTGATTTGCTGACTACTACTAACGGAAATGCTCGAGGCCAAAGCAAGATCGATATAACGTGGTTTCACCTATAACACTGTAAGATTTTTTTGGCTCCCGAGGACCGCGTTATATTGGGGTAGAGGTATACTTGTATGTATATTATCAAGTGTGGGGATGCTGGTATATTCCATGTGTATGGCTGGCTCAGCGGAGAGGGTGCAAACTTTAGGAGGCATGTTTAAATGGGGTGGCTAGTGGACAGCATTCATTAAACAAATGGGGTGGGGCCATTTAGGGATCTGGGGCAAAAATCTGTCTGGGGATTGGTCCTCCTTTAGAGCAGGGGGTTGGACTAGATGACCTCCGGAGGTTCCTTCCAACCCTGATACTCTATGAATATTGTCTATGAATATTAAATTAGAATTTAACACTCGATTAAATACAAAACTGACTTTAAAGTTATTTGTGCATCCGAACAACACCTTGATATACACTGATTGTACTTTGCATTAATATAACACCTTTGTAATTCCAGGATCTCAAAGCACTTTACGAACTGAGAATCTTTAGTTACATGATCACATTTTTTTTTTTCATAGGATCCCTGCTCATTCAGTGAACAGGCAGGATCTGTTCTGCGGATGAATCAGGTTTATACTGTAAAGGAGGCTGTTGTCTGTAAGACCCCTACTTCATTTCTTACTGAAGTTGGAAAGTGTGTAATGAATGAGGCTGAGGATTACAGCAATGAGATGGTCTCAAAGTTAGTCAGTTGAGTACTTCCCTGGAGAATGGGATTCTATCTCTCCCTCTGCCACAGAGTTCCTGTGTGGTGCTGGGCAAGTGACTTATACCAAACTGTTCACAGGTGCTCACTGTGTGATCCTCATCTGGTGCCTGATTTGAGACCCTTGCGTCTGATTTGCAGAAGTGCTGAGCACTCACACCTGAAACTGCAGTCACTGGGAGTTAGGTGTTGAACACACTAATTCCTAGTTCTCTGAAAAATCAGGTCTTGGGTAACTCAAATTAGGCACCCAAAATTAGTGGACAGTTTTGACCTTAATCTCTCTGCCCCATCTATAAAATGGGGGATAATACCAACTCTTCACCTCAAAGAGTGTTGTGAAAATCAATTAATATTTGTGCAGGACTCAGATACTATAGTGATAAGCACCAGAGAAAAGTCCATGAGGAAACTAATAATGCTATCTTCAGAGTAAGATTTGAAGAGTGTGCAGTAAATAAAGCCTGAAGCCATGCACTGAACAACAAGGAGAAAACCCAGGAAATGAGGAAGGCCTTCAGAAAATGAATGCACTGAGTGACCACCTGTAAAAGTGGTCTTGATTAGCATCACATAGGAACTCTGTGGCAGAGGCAGGGATAGAATCCAGTTCTCCAGGGCAACATGTAACTGCCTTACCAGTGAACACTTTCCATTCTTTGCATGGAATGAGGTAGGAGTCCTGTGGAAAAAGTAGTATGTGATCATGTAATTATAATGGTTCTGTAGTTCAAGAAAGGTGAATTTGGTTGCATTAGCACCCTAATTCTGGCACTTCCTAACTTGAGTGCTTAACTTGCAAATTTACCACTGTTTTTCTCACAGGTTTTTTGTGTTTAAAAAAAAAAAAAAAAAAGGGGACAAAAACCTGGTTAAACTTTACTGTGTAGACAAGTCCTTAATCTTATCTAGGAAGGGGAATAGGCTGTACCAATATAAGCCACCTTATACCAGCATAACTACCTCCACAGTATGGCTTGTATTGGTATAAGTATTTCCATAAAAAAATCACCTTCTTAAACAAAAAAAGTTATAGCTTTTGTAGAGGTATGTGTAGATCAGGCCCCAGTCTCCAATTCAGTGTCTAGGAGAAATGAATGCTATATTATGTAGTTTTATAAGAAGTCCTTTCCTGCTAGGGCACAATCTCCTTATGCTTCTTCTTTGTGACTCGTGTTTTCTTTTGTTATCAGAAACAAGTCTTAGTAAAAAGACAAAAGCAGATTTAAATTCTTTCACCTTGGCTTTTGGTGATTAGCAGCCACAGCACCTTATTCATAATAATTGGTAAAAAAACTACATTACTGTAGGTAAATTTGGCTGGTGATAGCTTGTGCCCTCCCAAAATGTCAAATTCAGCAAAAATCAAACTTGTGAAAACCAAGAAATACATGCCCATGCAACCGTAACTCTGCACCCCCTTGGTTGGCAACACATACTGGTAGTTAGGTGTATGCTCTCCAGCTGCATTTACTCCAGCTCTGCTCACCCAGTTTTGGGGGTAGCTGTATTGAATGGTGGAGGAAAGCTTTTTTCCTGTTTGCTTTTACATTATAAACTCTGGTCTTTAGCCCCAAACACTCTACATGAGTAATCTATGCTCTCAGATTTAGTGTGTTTCTGCAGAGAGGCAGTAGTACTGCTGCTATGACTAGTACAGACAAGGTTCAGATGTTTCGAGATGCTTCTACAAAACAAGAGAAGACTAATTTTGACATTTCTGAATGGTTTTTTTTGTAAAGGACAAAATAAGCAAATGGGCCAGGGGGAAAGAAACAAACCACACTCTCCTTCCTCAATTCACTTTCACATCCCTGATGCTATCAGGTTTCTTCCCTCCTGTTCCCTCTCTCTCCTCTTCATGGGTTTTCTGCTGCTGGATTAACACATTCTTCAGATTTCAGAGTAGCAGCCGTGTTAGGCCTGGTCTACACTATGACTTTAAATCGGATTTAGCCGCGTTAAATCGAATTAACCGTGCACCCGTCCACACAATGGAGCCATTTATTTCGAAATAAAGGGCTCTTAAAATCGATTTCTGTACTCCACCCCGACGAGCGGAGTAGCGCCAAAATCGATTTTGTCATTTCGAATTAGGGTTAGTGTGGCCGCAATTCGATGGTATTGGCCTCCGGGAGCTGTCCCAGAGTGCACCATTGTGACCGCTCTGGACAGCAATCTGAACTCGCATGCACTGGCCAGGTAGACAGGAAAAGCCCCAGGAAAATTTGAATTTCATTTCCTGTTTGCCCAGCGTGGAGAGCACAAGTGACCACAGATTGCTCAGCTCATCAGCACAGGTAACCATGCAGGCTGATAATCGAAAAAGAGCACCAGCATGGACCGTACGGGAGGTACTGGATCTGATCGCTATATGGGGAGAGGATTCAGTGCTAGCAGAACTTCGTTCAAAGAGACGAAATGCCAAAACTTTTGAAAAAATCTCCAAGGGCATGATGGAGAGAGGCCACAATAGGGACTCAGATCAGTGCCGCGTGAAAGTCAAAGAGCTCAGACAAGCCTATCAAAAAACAAAGGAGGCAAACGGTCGCTCCGGGTCAGAGCCGCGGATATGCCGCTTCTACGCCGAGCTGCATGCAATTCTAGGGGGGGCCGCCACCACTACCCCACCTGTGACCGTGGATTCCGGGTCGGGGATAGTCTCATCAGCTACACCTGAGGATTCTGCGGATGGGGAAGAGGAGGAGGAGGACGAGCTTGCAGAGAGCACCCAGCACTCCGTTCTCCCCAACAGCCAGGATCTTTTTCTCAGCCTGACTGAAGTACCCTCCCAAGCCAGTAGCCAAGACCATGACCCCATGGAAGGGACCTCAGGTGAGTTTACCTTTTAAAATATAAAACATGGTTTAAAAGCAAGCGTTTTTTAATGATTAATTTGCCCTGAGGACTTGGGATGCATTCGCGGTCAGTACA